GATGGCAGGAACAGGGCATCCCTGGACCCAGCCTTAAAGGGGGCCTGGGCCAGCAGTAGCCGGAGCGAGCTGAGGCAGAGGAGGCCTGTGGCTTCCTGTGAAGAACTGAAGAGCCACTTCCTTTAAGCAGATGGCTGTGGGGGAGGGGCAGAAGATTAGGGAGCATGGGCTTCCTGGCTTAGGGGGAAAGGACGGGGGCCCCCAGAAGGCCCCATGAAGAGGCTCAGAGCAGCCTTCCATTTCCCTTCCCTCTGGGGTCTCCATGGAGCAGACAGTGCAGACAGGCAGGGTCACACCCTTCCCCTGTGCTGTGAAGCCACAGAGAGGGGAGTTAGGCTAGGGGCATGCTCATTTGTATAAGGCCAGTAAAGAAATGGAGCCTTGGGGCCAGCCTGGCGTAGCGGTTAAGTTAGCACACTGCTCTTCGGCGGCCTGGGGTTCACAGATTCAGACCCCGTGTGCAGACTGAGGCACCGCTTGTCAAGCCACGCTGTCGCGGCGTCCCACATACAAAATGAGGAAGATGGGCACGGATGTCAGCCCGGGGCCAGTCTTCCTCAGCAAAAAAAGAGGAGGATTGCCAACAGATGTTAGCTCAGGGCTAATCTTCCTCACAAAAAAAAAAGAGAAAGGAATGGAGCCTTGGTTACTCCAAGAAGCAAGCCCAACCACTTAGCTCCAAGCACTCAAGTCCAAGTACCCATCCTCTGAACCCAGACCCAGAAATGCAGCCCCAAGTACTCAGCCTCAAATATCCGCCCTAAGTTCCCCGCTCCAAGCACCAGCTCCCAGTGGGGCATCCAGTGCCAGGCAGAGGCTGGCAGAGGCCCAGGGGCTCTTTAGCTATATGGGGGCATGGCTTGTCATGGAGAGCTTGTCCTTAATCATTCTCCCCAGATGTATTTACTGGACTGACTCTTCCCCTGTAGCCAGCACTAAGGAAATGCCAGCCCAGCCATGAAAAATAGTCACAAAACCCAAATTGGTGCAGTTTTACTGCTTTTGTTCTATTTGCATACATTTGCTTGTCCAGGGTGGTACGCAGCCCCCACTCACCCACACCCGCATTCAATGGAGAACTAAATGCCCCCAGTAGAGTCAGAAGCAGGTGGTCAGGGCCAGGGAGGCTTTCTGAAACCAGAGGAGGCAGAGAGGCGGGGGCTTGGTTTGGGGCCCACAACCCTTTAGCATTGCTGCATGACTCTCTTTGGGCCTCTGCTTCACCTCTGTCCAGCCAGCGGACAGTCCTTTGTCTGCCTCTCTCAAGGGGTGCATGTGAGGAGGAGGAGGAGTTCTCTCTCAGCAGAGAACAGGGGTATCTCTGAGAACAGAGGCTGCTCGGCTACAGGTCACAGCAAGATGGGGTAGGCGGCAGTGGTGGTGACACCACAGGTTTTGTTCTTAGTGGATATGAGGATGTAGCCACTGGTAGCAAGCACGAGTTCTTGATGAGCCAAAAGGGCTTACCTCCTCATACCCATAGCCTACCGGGAGCACAGATTGGTTCAGCTGCTCCAGGTGCTGATCTGGGGAAGGGGCGGAACATCTGCACTCAGCCACGATTTCTCACGCTTTCTCTTGGAACACATCAACTCAAGAACTCAAGCCTATTCCTCCCTCAATCCTCCCCACCTTGGGCAAAGGCACCTCCAGGCATGCGGGTACCTAGGCCAGACAATTGCCCAAGGGCTTTCCCCGCTGACCTTCCAAGGAGGGCTCCTTCACTCTTTGGTCTCCACTCAGATGTCACCTACTCGGAGAAGCCCTCCCTGATCACCTACTTTATTTTTTTATAATTTTATTTATTTATTTTCCCCCCAAAGCCCCAGTAGATAGTTGTATGTCATAGCTGCACATCCTTCTAGTTGCTGTATGTGGAACACGGCCTCAGCATGGCTGGAGAAGCGGTGCGTCGGTGCGCGCAAGGGATCCGAACCCGGGCCGCCAGCGGCAGAGCACACGCACTTAACCACTAAGCCACGGGGCCGGCCCCCTGATCACCTACTTTAAAGCAGCCTCCTTGTTCCTCTCTACTACAGTGGTTCCCAAACTTATCTGCACGTGGGAATTACCTGGGGACTTCAAAACATACTGATACCTGTGTCTCACCCACAGAGATTGTGATTTAAGTGGTCTGGGGTGCAGCCTGGGCTTTGGAATTTTAAAAAATCTCCAGGTGACTCTAATGTGCAGACAAGCGTGGGAACCACTGCACTAGCACATGACCTGTTTCTTCTGTCTAAGGCCAGTAAAGAAAGGGAGCCTTGGTTACTCCAAGAAGCAGGCCCAAGCACCCAGCCCCAAGTACCCAAGTCCAAGTACTCGGCCTCAGAACCCAGTCCCAAACACCCAGATCCAAGGTGTTATGTGTGTATTTATATACATATTTTGTATGTGTGTGTATGAGGAAGATCAGCCCTGAGCTAATATGCATGCCAATCCTCCTCTTTTTGCTGAGGAAGACCGGCTCTGAGCTAACATCTATTGCCAATCCTCTTCCTTTTTGTCCCCAAAGCCCCAGTAGATAGTTGTATGTCATAGTTGCACATCCTTCTAGTTGCTGTATGTGGGACTCGGCCTCAGCATGGCCGGAGAAGCTGTGCGTCAGTGCGTGCCCGGACCCGACCCTGGGCCGCCAGTAGCAGAGCACACACACTTAACCGCTAAGCCATGGGGCCGGCCCCAGTGTTGTGTATATTACCTCATTTAATCCTTACAACAATCTTCTTGAGTGTTATTAGGATCCTCACTTTACAGATGAAGAAATCAAAGCAGAAAGAGGTTAAATAACTTCCCTATGGTAAACAGCTAGCAAGTGACAGGGCCGGAATTTGAACTCAGACAGTCTCTCTAGAACAGTGTCTGGCACCCAGAGGAGACTCTATAAATAATTGTCCAATAAAGGACCTTAATCTCCCTCTGCTTCACTCATCCCCCACATTCAATCCAGCAACCAGCTAGCCTCTAGATTCTATCTTCTAATTGTTTCTTGAGTCTGTTCATGACTCTCCACTCACATGGCCCCTCTCTCTAGTTCACTACCCTCAGGCCTGGAGGACACCTACAAATTCCTTCTAATGGGTCTCCCTGTGTCCATTCTTGTCTATTCTCCACACAGAGCCAGGAAGATCTTAAAACAAAGTAGATCAAGTGACCACGTCCCATCCCTCCCCCCCTTAACGCCACCAATGGCTGCCTGTCATACTTAAATAAGTAGAATAAAATTCTACTTCCTTACTAGGGACTTCAAGGTCTTGAATAATCTGCTCCTCGAAACTTCCAGAGTATTATCTCACCTTGCTTCCCGTCCCCCAACTCTTTTCCAGCCAGAACCCTCCTCTCCTTCCCAGAACCCTCTAGGTGTGGGCTAACCTCGATGCCTTTCCACAAGCTCTTCTCTCTGCTTGGAACATTTCTGTTGTTTCAGAGTCAGCTCCAATGTAACTTCTCCAGAGATCGGAGCCCCCAGTGTAAATTAAACACTGTTTATTCCAGCAGCCTGTACCTTGTGTTCCTAGAATTGATCACAATTGTAATAAAAGCATGATTGGTGTAAGCATTTGTTACTGTCAGACTTCCTCACTAGACTCTGAGCTCGCTGTGCACAAGCACAGGGTTCGTCGCTACTTATCGCGAGCACTCAGCGCCTGGCACACAGGAGGCGCCCAATAGCTTTGGTTGAGTGGATGGACAGATGGACAGATGGATGGACAGACAGACGGATGGGTGGATGAGAAGTGATTGAGTGAATAAAATACATTTTAAAATTGTGAACCTAGTCACCCTGCCTTTATTTCTCAGGGCAGTTATAATGTGCGCGATTCACATGGGCGTTATTTTCACCTTTCGAGAGCCCCCTACCCACCGGCACCCCATGGCCTTTCCCAGGCAAGGCCACTGGGCGGGGCTTCCGGGGCCGGTTTCTTGACGTCACAGAAGGAGGCGTGCCCGGAGTCAGCCTCTGCTCCCTGATTGGCGGGCGCGGACGACGGCGGTCACACGCCCCGCCACTGCGGTCGGAGTAGACGCCGTGGGAGTAGAAGGTGGAGGAGGGCGGGGTGCGTCCCCGTAGGCGGCGGCGAGGCTGTTCCGCCCCCTCGCAGGCTTCAGTGCGTCGGGGTCCCTCGGGGGCGCGTTCACGTATCGCCGAGCGTTTGGCTAGGTTCACACTGTTCTAAGAGAAGATGGGACAGCGGAGGGGACGCGCGCTGCGGCTGGACCGCTCCCCGCAGCGGCGGGACAGAGTGTGACCAAGGCTCGGGGCGCTCACCCGAGCGTGGCTATTTCGGGCCTCTGACCTCAGCGAGGAAAGTCCCAGAAACCCAGCCCCACCCTCCCCCTCACTCTCCTGGACACGCTCTGCCTCTTCCCTCCACCCCGAACTCAGACCCAAAAAACTGCGGGACCAAGAGTCTGCAGACCTGGATTCTAGCCCAGCTCTGTGTGACCCAGGACAAGAGTCATGCCTTCTGGACCTCAGTCTGCTCATCTGCAAACTGAATTGGCACCTGCATTAAATGATGTGATGTATAAAGTGCCCAGCGCTGGACTGGCACATACTAGACGCTCAGTAGATACTGGTTTCTTTCTCCCTGATCCTGACGCTGCCACTGAGTGGCTCTGTGGCCTGGAGCAATTTCACTTAACTTCTGGGGGCTCACTTCCCCATTCTAGAATGAGAGAATTGTGCTTCCAGCTCAGAGGTTCTGGGAGCTAAGACTTCTTGAGTCACTGAATCAGTGATGAGCTGAGACCAGACCCCACCTCCTGGTGTCACCTGACTTCTCTGAGGTTCCTGTGACACACGGCTTCCTCATCCTCCTGGAGATGGCTCTAATGAGGTTTTGCTTAAGAGGGCTGGGTTCCCCAGGGATTCTGCGAGGTCTTAGGGTTTGCAGGGATCTTAAAAGGCTTCCCAGACAACCTTCTTCAATGTTTCTTTCAAGGTTGGGTCACTCCCCTGTGTAAAACTGTTTCATGGCTCCCTATGGCCCTCAGGCCTCTCAGTAAGACCCACAAGGCCAAGCCTGGGTTTCTAGCCTCAGCTGAGCCCCCTCCCCTCTCTCCCAGGCAGGCTCTAGCCAGACTGAGCTGCTTTCAGCTCTCTCTCCTCCCCTCCGGGTGTTTGCACAGACAAATCCCTCCCTGCCCCATCCTCTTTCACCTGGCTAACACCTCATCCCTGACCATCGTGGGAGGGGGTGGATCCTGACCCCTAAGATGGGTCCTTGTTCAGTTGAGGACTGGTGAGTGACTCCCGACCTCACCCAGCTCAGCCACCACACTTCTTACTTCCTGCCCTCCAGCCATGCTGAACTTGCAGCTCCTTGAAGATTCAGGGCTCTCTCTTGCCCCTCGGCTTTTGCACCTGCTGTTCCCTCAGACCTAAACACTCTTATTTTCCCTACTTATTTATAGTTGTCCTTCAAATCTCAGTTTAGAAGTCACTTCCTCCCAGGGAGAGGGGGAAGGAGTTCATCGACCAGCCCCTACCGTATCAAGTACACACTTTCTTGCCACTATTTAATATCTATTGAGTGAGTGAGAGAGTGAATCCTTGCCCAGTGCTTGTCCAGTCTCTGCTTACATACCTGAGAGGCAGGGAGCTCACTACTTTTGAAGCAGCCTACTCCATCTGTCCATTAGAAGGCCTCCAATTCCTGCCCACCCCCAACCAATGCTCAAGAGATTCCCTGGGTGGGGGGCGGCCCGATGGCATAGCCGTTAACCAGGAGCGTTCTGCTTTGGTGGTTTGGATCCTGGGCGCGGACCTACTCACTGCTCATCAAGCCATGCTGAGGCGGCGTCCCACATAAAAGAGCTACAACTCTACAATTATGATACACAAGTATGTACTGGGGTTTTGGGGAGGAAAAAAAGGAAAAAGAGGAAGATTGGCAACAGATGTTAGCACAGGGCCAAGCTTCCTGAAAAAAAAGATTCCTTGGAACTGAAGCCTAGAGTGGGCAAGTACATTGAGATACTTGGTGCAGAGCCAGGGTCCTCCTGCCTGTCCTGAGGGCTCATGCAGGCTCACCTAGACGTGATAGGGCCCATAGGCATCAGCAGAGACCAAGATTCCCCACAGCCGGGATCCACTTCTAGGCCTGGGAGTTGAGACACCGTGACAGCTCATGTTCGCTTTCACCTAGGAGCAGCCGATCAGCCTCTGCTGGGGACAGGGACACCGACAACCTAGTCTGGGTGGAGGAGGCCAGGAAGGAAGCTCTTTCAGATAGCACTGGACTCCTATTGCCTGATTCAATCCCCATGCCAGCCCTGTGAGGCAGGAGATGCTGTTCCCATTTTACAGATGCCCAAACTGAGGTTTCTGGATGGATGCTATTTACCTAAGGTCACACAGTGAGATAGTGGCAAAGCCAGGCTGAACTTCAAAGCCCAACCTCTCTCCTCTGCACCTCCGCTTGGTGCCTCTTGTCTACCTACCCTGCTCCCAGCCCCATTCTTCCCGAAGCATCGTGAGGTCCTAAAGGGTCCTGTGGCTCCTGTTCCCACAGTGGGGTCCCACCCCCACTGGGGCCTCAGCAGCTGTGCCTGGGCGGCAGCTAAGGGCTGCCCAAACGCCAGGAGTCATCCCTTCCTTCTGCACTTCGTCACTGCCCAAAACTGCTGAGGGACCCAGACCAAAATTAGGCAGTGGCCAAGGAGCTGTCTTATAGACACCAAGCCCCTGAAACCAGCCTGGGCCACTTAATTGCTGTGTGACCTTGGGTGGGTTCCTTTCCTTCTTGGAGCCTCAATTTATCATCTGTAAAGAGGATAAATTATCCCTCCCAGGGTGTCAGTGTGCCAGAGTTCAGGAAAGTTGCTTTCTCTCCCAGGCCGCCTCACCCTTGAACCTTCTGACCTTGAGGAACAGAGCCCCCCCAGGGTCCCTACTGGGGCAAAACTCCAGCATAAACTGCGCATAGCCTGGTCCTTGAAGGGGTCACAGATCCTGGGTTGGGTGGGAGGCAGGTTGGGGGGCCCAGCTTCCCCAGCGTCAGCTCCTTTCGGCCTCTGTCCCTGCTGGGGAGCTGGCTCTCTCATCACAGTGCTCCCTCTACTGTCTGGCCTTGCAGGGCCATTCCCCCGGGGACTCTGCCTCCTCCCGTCTGTCCCCTCTTCCTCCCACAAATGTTTATCCGTGCCTACTCTGTGCATATATCACTGAATAAGCTCAGTGCCTGTCCTTGCAAAGCTCACAGTTCGGTGGGGGAGGCAGACAAGGAAACCAGGTCACCATTCATTCACCCATCCCAAATCCTATTGCCCTCCCTGCCGCTGCTCTCAGCCGTACAGTCTGCTGTCCGCACTGCAGCCTGAGCCATCCTGTTACAAGGGAGGTCAGAACGTGTCATTCTTCTGCTCAGCCCCCTCCCGTGGCTCCCCGTCTCAGAGAAAAAGCCAGCGTCCTTGCTATGACCTGTAAGGCCTGCATGATCTACCTCATTGCTTCCCACTTTCCCCTCTGAACACTCCATTCCAGCTGCACTGGCTGCCTTGATGTTTTTCCACATGCCAGGCATGCTCGTGCCTCAAGCCTTTGCATTTGTCCTTGGTCCTGCTAGGAATGTCTTCCCAGGGATCCATGTGGCCTCCCTCCCTTCACACAGGTGTCTCCACCTGGCCCAGGGGCCTTCCCTGGCCGCCCATCTAAATACTACCCCTTACTTGCCTTCTGCTTTATTATTTTTCTCTTGGCACTACCAAGTGACATGTAATTATTTGTTTATTGTCTATTCTCCTACAGGGGTATAAGTCCCATGAGATCTCCTGAGGTACCCCACCTCTCAGAAAAAAAATAAAGAGAGAGAGAGAGAGAAAGAGAAAAGAATACCAGGAAACTAGGAAAAAGCAAAAGCAACATTAACCTTACTACTATAGATAATAATATTTAAAGCCTCAATAATTAAAACTACTTGATTTGGGTGCGGGAAGAGACAAACAGACTGATGGACTGGAATAGAATGTCCAGAAATAGACCCAATTGTACAAAGATTTAGTATTTGATGAAGATGGCTTCTCAAAGTGGAGAACAGACTCTCTAATAAGCAGTGTTAGGACAACTAGGTGGCGAACTGGAAAAAAAATTAGATCTGTACTTCACCTCGAGTACCAGCCTAAGCGCCAAAGGGATCAAAGATGTAAATGTTCAAAAAAATCAAAATAAAACCAGAAAAGCACTAGAGGAAAACATGGGGAGACTCTATCATCTCATAGTGGGAAAAGTCTAACCATGACTCGAAAACCGGAAAGCCACAGAAAATAATTGATGAAGTCAACTATATAAAAATCAAAAACTTTTGCATGGTAAAACACTATAAATCAAGTCATAAGACAAATGACAAAAAGGGAAATATTTGCAACTCAGATCACAGACAAAGGGTCATCTCTCTAATTTATAAAGAATTCCTGGAAATTCATTAAAAGGGTCAGCAATCAAAAGAAATAGGCATAGGATACGAATTGACAGTTTTGAGAAAATGAAATACAAATGGCTTCTAAACATATGAAGCTCACTTGAAAGAAATGAAAATCAGGAAAAGCACATTGAGATATCATTGCTTATCATGATGTCTGGCAAAAAATCCAAGTTTAATAATATACTCTGTGGGCTCTCACACACGCGAATGTAAGTTGGTACAGGTCCCCAAAAGGGCATTTTGGCAAATTCTATCAAAATTATAAATGCATCTAGATATCCTACTTCTGAGAATTTATCCTTCAGATATGCTTGTACTGGTGAGAAATAGATGTATGTATGAAATTATTCTCTGCAGCACTGTTTGCAATAGCAAAAGACTGGAAACAATGCAACCATCCATTAGTAAGGCGTTAGGTTAGGTCAGTCAATCCATTAAAAGGAATACTATGCAACTATGAAAAAGAATGGAGGAGCTCTGTGTGTTCTGACAGGGAAAGTTCTGTAAGGGATATTAAGTTTAAAAAGCAAGGTGCAGGCTGGCCCTGTGGCTTGGTGGTTAAGTGCGCGCGCTGCAATGCTGGTGGCCCGGGTTCGGATCCCGGGTGCGCATCGAGGCACCACTTCTCCGTTCATCCTGAGGCCGAGTCCCACATACAGCAACTAGAAGGATGTGCAGCTACAACACACAACTATCCACTGGGGCTTTGGGGGGAAAAATAAAATAAATAAAATTTTTAAAAAAAAAAAAAAAAAAAGCAAGGTGCAGAACAGCATATATGATATTCCACCTTTTGTAGGAAAAGGTGGGGAATTATATATATATTCATAATCTTACTGAGTAGGAGCAGAATTAGTGATTAAGAGCACAGACTCAGAAGCCTCAGGCGGCCTTGCTAGAGCCTGTGAGGCACACTTCCACCTCAGGGCCTTTGCACTGGCTGTTCCCTCACTTCATTCAGGTCTCTGTCGAATGTTATCTCTGCAGAGAGGCCGTCTCTCACCTAAAAAAAAAAAAAAATGTAGCCCTGACTCCCAATTGCCACCATGCTCTATCCCTTCCCTGCTTTAACTTTTCTTCAAATCGTGTATCACTCCTGATGTTACTTGTCTGTTGACTGTCTCCCCCTGCTTCTAAGTTCTAAGAGGGGAAAGGCTGTGTCTGTCTTGTTCACAGCTGCATCCTTAGTCCCTAGCACAGAGCCTGGCACATTCGATAAATATTTGTTGAATGAATGGATGAAATGAGACATCGTATGTAAAGTGCTTAGCGTGGTACCTGGTGCACAGTAGAAGGTTCCCTATTATTCTCTTCCCTTCCCTTCCCTTGGACATCTTCACACTCTTCTTATCCCCCTGCCCCCAGGAATACCTCCCACGCCACCCTATGGGGTCCTTCTCTCAGGGCCCCTTTCTCTCCCAAATCTACTCTCTCCTCTCCAAGTGGCCTTTACGTTCAGCTGTTGACCCGGGGGGGGGGTGACATGTCTCCTCCATTAGACAATGGTTGCCCTGTGCAGAACTGTGGGAACTGTGGTTTGGCCTCCCTCCGGCTCCCTCCTTTCCCAGGGCTCAGCCTGTGGAGCTACCCACAGAACCACTGTGTCATTTCCTGACTCTGGTAAGGAATTCCAGGCTTGTTCCACCTCTCTCTCAGTAAGTCCCTTCTGCAGTCTAACTGAAGTCATTCTTGCTACAATGAAGAATGAGGACCTACGACCTCTGAGAGAGCAGCGGGGCAGATTTTCTCCCTGTAATCTTTGTTGGTTGTCTTGGGGGATTTGGGGGTGGGTCCTCACCATGGAGTCTCCAGTTCAGGCTCTCAGGCAGAGCCACACTGGCCAGATGCTTGGCAAGAAAGAGTTCTCCTTTATTCAGTTCAAAGGATCTCAGCAGACCCCACAGAGCTGCCAGCTCTCCAGGACTGTGGTCCATCAGGTGGTCAGCGGCCAGGTACAAGGTGTGGTGAGCACGGTTGTGGTGGTTAATGAACTTGGATGAGGGGAGAGATTGACACCTGTGACCTTGACCCCCTCATTCCCATCTTCCCCTTCTTAATTCATCCATCCATTCAGTCAGCCTTTCAGAGTAAAAGTCAGGAGTACCTAGTGTGTGCCAGACACTCAGCTCTCATTTTCTCTAACCTCACTTTCCCTGTCTGTAAAATGAGGATAATAGTACCCTACTTATATGGTCGTTGTAGAGATTAAATGAGCTAATGTACATAAAACCCTTAGCATAATACATGGCTCATTGTAAATACTCAATAAACATGTTTTTCAGTTTAATCAACACTGAGAGATGCCAGCTCTGGGCCAGGCTCTCAAGGGTCCAGTGGGAAAGGCTGGTATAGAAACAGATATTTATAAAATAAAGTCCAAGCAACAGGGTACTTGGGGGCAAGGTGTGGCTGGGAGCCCAGCTGCCCGGTGCTGTGCTGGGTGACCTTGGGGAAGGCACACTCTCTCTGGTCCCACCGGGGAGAAGACAGGAGTTAGGATGGGAACTGATGCCTAAAAATAAGGCGGGGCACGTGGTGTAGCGGCTAAGTGCGCGCGCTCTGCTGCTGGTGGCCCGGCTTCAGACCCGGGCGCCTACTGACGCACCGTCTGTCAGGCCGTGCTGTGGTGCCCGCTCACATAAAGTGGAGGAAGATGGGCACGGATGTTAGCTCAGGGCCAGTTTTCCTCAGCAAAAAGAGGAGGATTGGCATGGATGTTAGCTCAGGGCTGATCTTCCTCACACATAAATAAATAAATAAATAAATAAGGCGGGGCAGGAGTAAGGACTTTGGGGTTGAGCCAGCAGGCCCTGCCTTCCCATCTCGCCTCTGCCAAGTCCTCTCAGTGTGACCTTGGGTGAGCCTTCTCCCGCTCTGAACCTCAGTTTCCTCCTCTGAACAGTGGGGATCATCACATTAGGTGGCCGGGTGCTTGTGAGGATGCAAGAAGAGGACAGGTGGCAAACTCGAGGTGCTGAGCCCTTGTGTGGGAGCAGTGCTGCCCCAGCCCACCTGAGGCTGTAGAGGAATTTCTTCTCCAGCAAGAAGGATCTGGAGCTGGAAGCTGGACGGTCCTCCTTGCTTCTGTAGCTCCTTCCATGCCAGCGGCATGGGCACCCTGGCATATCGCATCCGCTCCCACCCTGGGCCAGAGGGGACTGGATGGCCCAGCTCAGTAATTGAGTCACTACATTCTTGGATAAGTAACTCAGCTTCCCCGGGCCTCAGTTTCCCCATCTGTAAAATAGGGACAATGAGATTGACCTTACCAGAGAGTCTTCCCAAATTCCTTAAGGCCCTCTCCCTTCTGGCCCTGATAAACTTATTATTGGGGTGATTTCTGCCACATTGCTTAGTATCTCCTTCAGACTGGGGGTAAGGCTGTGTCTCTTCCACACGTTCCAAATGTCGGTATATCTAACATTTACTATGCACAATAGTACAATACAGCAGGCACTTCACATGCATCATCTCAGTTCATCACATCATATAGATTTTACTAATATACCCATTTTACAGATGAGGAGACTGAGGCTTAAGGAGTAAGCCACCTGTTAAAGATCACCCAGACAGCAGATGGAGGGGTCAGGATTTGTCCAGAGGCCCATATCAGGGTTATGAAGGGAAGACAGTGTTAGTTCGGGTAGATCCCAAGCCAAACCCCAGATTTTTCACTGATTTACTAGCTGTGTGACCTTGAGCAAGTCTCTGGAGCTCTCTGGCCTCAGTTTCCCTATCCATACCAGGAAGAGTGACTGTACTTCGCAGCAATGTAATGCATGTAGAATGTCTAGAACAGGGCCCGACATACAGAAGGTGCTCTGAAGTAAAGGGTGTTCCCTCCTCCCTTCCTTCTTTACCTCCTCTGGGAGACACCCTACGCTTGGGCAAGTGTCCCGCCTGGCTGACTTAGCTGTCTCAGAGACAATACTTGTGTTCCTTCCTCCCATACTGATAAGGCCTGGGGAGTTGCTGCCCCTCCCCCCGGGGTCTCTCCACTCCCTGGGAGCCTCAGTCTGCTGGGGGGCGGGGGGATAGTCTCCAGTCTGATGGAGATAGAGCCCAGTCAGCGAAGGGAGATACCGGCCCCACGCCTGACACTGGGTGGGAAACCACAGCATTGTGCCATCTCATTGCACAGGGTGTGTGGCTGGGGTGTGGACACAGGAGGCAGGGGGTTGGTGCTCTGGCAGGGAGGGTGTCTGGGGCTCTGTCCTATACTGAGTGAGCTGCCGGGGTCACTCACCCCGAGGCAGGTGGATCGTGTTGTGTGGACAGCAGCTGGAGAAGTTGGCAGAGTCCAGCTGGTACTTGTCGAAGTGACAGCCCGGTAGGTAACTAAAGCTGCGCATGGTGGAGCAAACAGGAATTGTCCCCTG